TACACAATGCCATTAGGCTTAATCAAAAACTATTACTTCCGGATTGTGTATTTAATGCAACAATATGCATAATTTGACCTATCAGTGATTACATATTTGGACATTCAAGTCTGTTACATGTAAATAGAATAATAGTTCAACAATGCCAACTTATTACATATAGAATACAGCAGCAGTTACTAATTGAATACAATGGAAAAGATTGCACTGAACGGTCATAATTCAAAAATCAACACAACAACAAACATGTTCCTCAATGCCAAGGACATGATTGTGCTGTCAGGAACGTAACAAGATGAGGGTTACTTCCCCTGAATCTAGCTAATGCGGTCACGTGACACCCGAAAATAGGTGACAACCACAGTTTAAACAGGTCACCATTTATTTTCCAACGGCATACATTCCAATAAGCTGGTTCCCGGCTTCCGTGGTAGCGTACCCATCCAAAAGTTACTTCCCTTCGACCATGGAAATTATCATCATTTCACTTTCTCACAGGCATGCAGGTGCACCATTTGATCAGGTGTTTAACCTATTTAATTCTGGAAAGAAATTACTCGAGATAGTGAGTGCCCCTTTAGGACTCTTGAGGCATTTGTTACAATATTTAGGAAATATATTACTTGCAAGATGTTTGGTAATACTCAAATCATGGAGTAGAAAGTTGTACCAGGAACAATGCATAACGTCTGACCACCATGGGAAATTAATGCATGGAGTGTGGCAGACGTTGTACCACAAATCATTTTGTCGACTTCTTCCCGACACTGGATTAATGTCATGGCCCCACAGCATCGTGTTTCCAAGGCTCCAAACAATTGTTACACGCACGCACGCACGCACGTGGCCCCACAGCATCGTGTTTCCAAGGCTCCAAACAATTGTTACACGCACGCACGCACGCACGTGGCCCCACAGCATCGTGTTTCCAAGGCTCCAAACAATTGTTACACGCACGCACGCGCAAACTGTACCATGAACACTGTACCATGAACATACAGAGTGACGAAGATGAATAAATCCTCTGGTTGCAACATTTCTTGTTGACTAAATGGTCTACATTTTAGTACAGTTACAATATGTTTTATCTTTGACAACCAGGCTGCACCTAGTAGGCCCAGGATACAAATCAAACATTTAAAATGAATTTAAAACGAATGAGTGAGTACGGTGTTACGCCGTTTTCAGCAATATTCCGCAAATATCAGTGCGGGGGACACCAGAAATGCGCTTCACACATGTACCCATGTAGGCAATTGAACCCGGGTCTTCGGCATGAGGAGCTTACCCTTTAACCAATAGGCTACCCACCGCCTCCTGTTGAGAAGGAGCGTATCCATCTCTGGCAGTCTGGGTTCATGGTTCAGTGTGGACAATAATATTTTGGAGGCTTGGGAACATTTTGTCATAACATCCTGACATTGATTGGAATAGATGCAAGAACTCGGCTAAACGGTTATGATGCAACGCCTATCATATTTCATCCATACATTTCAACATGGATATCACCTTGGTGAGGCGAAATGGGGTATAACGTCGCGCATATAGCGACGTTCATGCACGTGTGTGTGAGCGTGCGTGGCTGCTTGAACTAGCCAGTTTTACAATGCTAGTCCACTGAGATAACATGCCGCAGTTTAACATTGACACCCCATTCAGACACAGTATACTGACTCCGGGCCGTCCAGTCGACCACCCGACCAAGGTGAGCTTATGCCATACCTTGGCGTCCGTCGTCCGTCCGTCGTCCGTACGTCAACAATTTATTCAAACGACTTCTTCTTCTGAACAACAAATCGGAAATTAACAAAATTAGACTGGAAGCATCCCTAGGTGGTGGGGATTCAAAAATGTACAAATGGTGGGGCTGAGGGGCGGGGCCAAATAGGGGTAATTTGGCGTTATTGTTTTAAACGACTTCTTCTCTAGAACTAAGAGATAGATGTCAACCATATTTGGTTGGAAGCATTCTCCGGTGGTGGGGATTCAAAACTGTACAAATGGAGGGGCTGAGGGGCGGGGCCAAATAGGGGTAATTTGGTTATATTGCTTCAGACGACTTCCTCTCTGGAACTAAGAGATGGATATCAACCATATTTGGCTGGAAGCATTCTCCGGTGGTGAGGATTCAAAACTGTACAAATGGTGGGGCTGACACCCCCCAAACTGCTGAGGGGCTGGCCAAATAGGGGTAATTTGGTTATATTGCTTTAAACGACTTCTTCTCTGGAACTAAGAGATAGATATCAACCATATTTGGTTGGAAGCATTCTCGGGTGGTGAGAATTCAAACTTGTACAAATGGAGGGGCTGGGACACCACCCCCACCCCAACCCTCTGAGGGGCGTGGCCAAATAGGAGTAATTTGGCGTTATTGTTTTAAACGATTTCTTCTCTTGAACTGAGAGGTAGATATTAACCATATATTGTTGTAAGCTTTCTCCGGAGGTGAGAATTCAAAACTGTACAAATGGAAGGGCTGATCACCCCCCAAGAGGCTGAGGGGCGGGGCTAAATAGGGGTAATTTGGCTACATTGCTTCAGACGACTTCCTCTCTGGTACTAAGATATAGTTATCAACCATATTTGGCTGGAAGCATTCTCCAATGGTGGGGATTCAAATTGGAGAAATGGAGGGGCTGAATCCTACCCCCACCCCCGGGGACTAAGGGGCGGGGCTAAAAAGAGTTTATAACTTGGACACAGTTAAGATCCCCACCGTATAAACCATATGTACAATTGAGAGTATAATGAGAGAAATGCACATATGCTACCAGGACTGTCCCTTCTGTTCATCTGTCCGGCACTCCCAAAAGAGTTAGAACCTTGACCATAACATGCAAACCGATATTATCCCCACCCTATATTAAACAGATGCATTGTATACATTTGTTTGTTATGAAGAGAGTAATACCTTTAATATGATATATCCTGGATCATTACTTGGAAACGGTTATGCCACATTTGTATCTACATAAATACACGTTCATGCTGTTAGATTTGCCATCCACCCATTTTAAATGCTGAGTCAAAATTACGAAATATTTACAGTATTATAGTATGACCAGAAATTATGGAGAATTTTAGGGGTATGTTTAAGTGGATATCTAGTATAAAAAACACTGACCAGCTGTCAAGTGCTTGGTTTCATTCAAGAGAGACAACTCAGTTAATCCTATTTCATTAGTTTGTCAAGAGTTATCCCCCTTGGTTTACTTGCTAGCAGACGTCATTTTCAGTGATCCTCAGTATGGATGATTTAGAGAAGAGGAGGTTGATTTTAGAGTATTATAACAAGGACATCAGATCAGCTAAAGTGATTTCAAGTAGAACAGGCATCGCTTTGTCCACTGTTTATCGTGTTTTGAAAAATATTGAAAGTGGAGATGCCATTGAGCACAAGAGAGGCGCAGGTTGGCCCAGAAAATTGACAGTTGGTGACAGGAGGCGGCTTGGTATTCTTGTTTCTAAAAACAAACGAAGGAGGTTAGAAAACTTAAGACCGGATATGACTGATAGAGGAAATGTGGCTGTCTGTGAGGAGACAATTAGAACTGAGCTCGTGCAATAGGTTGGGAGAAAAGTCGAGGAATATTCCATCACCGATCATGAAACCTGAACAAAAGGAGCGAAGGTTGAACTGGTGCTTAGAGCATGGAAATTTTAACTGGGACACTGTGATTTTCTCAGATGAAAGTTCTGTGTGGCTGTTTCCTAATACACTAAAATTCTGGACCAAACAAACTGAAAACCTTTGTTACAGCGCCCAAAGTACAGTCCAAAATTTCACGTGTGGGGTGGCATATCTGTGTTAGGGGCAACGCCCCTGTGTGTATTTGAAGGGAATATGAACAGTGAGCGGTACACAGATATTCGCGAGGGACATTTACTTCCATCTGCTCAAGTATTTTATGGAAATTCTTGGATTTTCCAGCAAGACAACGACCCAAAACATCGTTCAAAGCATTCTCATGCCTGGTTTCGGACCGAAAATATGACATTATTAGATTGGCCAAGCTGCAGCCCTGACCTAAATCCAATAGAAAATGTTTGGGAGCTTATGAAGGAAAGTGTCAATAAAAAAATCTGACACATATTGCTGGAATTAAAGAAGAGGTGGTCCGATATTGGGACAGCATGAACCACGACTTTCTAACTTCTTTGATCAGTAGAATGCCCCGCCGCCTTGAAGCCTGCAATGCTGCCCATGGTGACTTGACAAAATACTAAGTGTTCACCTGTCTTTGAAGCTGGAGTTATGTTGTACTAATATTCACATTTAAAACGTGAGTAATGAGTGAATTTTTTTTTAAAATTACAATCCTTCAATCCTCAATAATTGTATAAACATGTACAATGCAAATGTATATTTTGTCATGATTGCGTCAATATCCAGGTGAGCGATACAGGCCCTATGTGCCTCTTGTTCTAATTACTTATCGATCATTGATTACCAGTTTTGAATTTTAAACGAAGCCTCAAAATTGATTTATATTTCTTTAACTGAAATATTCATATCATGATATATTTTCTGTAATGAAATAGGCTAACATGAAAGCTGTCTCATACTTAATGTTATAAGTGTTTTCTTCGGGTAAGATCATGTCAATCCTGTTCAAGCAAGTCAGTGGACTCCATAAGACAAGTATTGTTGATCATGCCCCTGGTCATGACCTGGTCGTGACCTGAAGGGGCGGTGGGGTAGCCTAGTGGTTAAAGCGTTGGCTGGTCACGCTGAAGACCCGGGGTCGATTCCCAACATGGGAACAATGTGTGAAGCCAATTTCTGTTGTCCCCCGTCGTGATATTGCTGGAATATTGCTAAAAGCGGCGTAAAACCACACTCACTCACTCATGACCTGAAACTAGTGTACCAACCATGCAGGGTCGGCTGATGGTACCAGTCATCTCGATATACCAGTCCCCGTGAGGTCCCGGTCAGAATAAATCCCATGCACCCTTTATATTGCTGGTTGTGAAAATGGTCATAGTATGATTATAGTCACTGTCGTACCATAAATTTGACGGACCCTTACAAGCTACTGGTTGAATAGTAACTAGTAACACCCAGAATCGTGACTGGAGGAATTAATTCAGCTCATAATTAATTTTGCTCCATTTATATGATGGCGCGACTAAACTACTCTCTTTAAAATACAGCCGAGCTCCGTCTCTATATCACCCCAGTGCAAGCGCAAATAAGGTCGGGAGCCAGTTTAACTTTATTTTGTAATATCGTGTGATCTTACGAGACTTCATGTCTTCCTTGACGACGGTTGTCACTTTGATGTTACATCGACGCCATTTTTGATGCTACATCTGCACTTTGCTGTTCTGAAAACGTTTTTTTCCTACCCTTTGTTGCAATTCTTGAACCTGCCACCATGAATGCGAGCACTTATGTTCAAGGTACAATTCTAATTACGCTTCAGTAGATTCCGTACCTTCACGTTGGTATAGTAGTGTGATGAGACCGTGTGTGTATCATGGCTCCTGTACTGGTCTTCAAACACTCTGCATGCTTTAGGGGCTTAAGATGTTAAATATAGGGGCCCTTGTGTACCTTGAACTTGTAAATAATTTTTGAAAATGTGGGTTCTCTGGGTTTTTTAATCTCACTGACATTGTTTAGGCGCCTTTCCTACCATGGTAACATGTTGATTTGGTTGTAAAATGAATTCCGTAAATTCATAACAGTGGTTACATGAAGTTTGTGAGTCTTGGGGAAGTGTTTTGGGAGGGAACTGCCCGTGCTGAAGTTACAGATAGCCCAAGTGGAACACACCCCTGCCCCCCATCCTTGTGTTATAAACCAGGATCTGCCCATGATTTTTTATAAACTCTCAGAACTCTCACAGCAGTCTGAGCCCAAATCAATATTGTATGCCTAGGCTGAATCCCTTGTATTTTATCAAATAGAATTAGTTTAGCAGTGAAAGGTAAACTGTTACTTATTATCCCATATTTTGTCTGAAGGGTTCAAGTTATAAAGTAACAGGGATGTATACTTTGCAGTGTCCAGGCTAGCTGCCCTTGATTAGAACCATTACCCTTTATCCAAATATAAAAATGGAACATTTTGGAAAAGGGGAACCCCTAAAAGCTTAGCTATATACCACCTATCTGTCAGCACAAATAATTTATTAACTGCTAAATGATAGAAGTGGGACGATACACAGCGACTTTTTAGTTGTCGATACAAGTATCCATCGCAGTCGCACACAATGTAAAAATATGGATTCTGACCTTAAATGGTTGCATTAATAACTGTTCGACTAAACACTAATCAGTAGTGCAAGTTAATAGTGAAAACATAAATATTTTCCAGCCCTACTAAATGATATATTATTTACAAGTCACCACCCAAAGATTAGGGACCAGCAACATAGATTCTGGGTGTTTAATACCCTGTATGTTTATTCTTCTGTTTCTCCACAGTTGATCGGATGATCTGGTTCCCCCAGCCTCTGTCCCAACTGACTTACCCTGCCCCTTGCCATGTAGGTGTCATAAAGGCTTGTCTTTAACAATGCCTGTTTAGCACTTCCATGAGTTTTCACCGATATGTGGAACACTTTTGTGTACTGGTCCCTGTCATAAAGCTGTAACTCCATGCCTATACTATTTCCCAACTTTTAACCAACAGTGTGCTATTATGAACGTTGAGACATAACTTTGGTCCAAAGGCTGTAAAGTTTGTCACATATGTACTTCCAAGAATATCCTTCATATCATCATCTTTACTATCTATCTCCTCTTTGCATTATCTACCTTCAGTATTTACATTATATCATTGTTTATTTCATGTCTTCCATTTGACATTTTCTGTCGTTTCTAACACACATTAACTCTGAATTGTAATCTCCAATAGGCCTTTTTCACTTCATTCCTCTTCTGTCTTTACCACCTAAATCTTTCACTTGCTGCAATAAAAGTCAATGATTGAATAACTTTCTCCATCTACATAATATTCTTTCCTTACATTCCATTCTTTCCTCTACCTCCCAATCTATAGCAACCCACTTCAAAGTCCCTGACCATCCCTGCCCACTTGTCCCACCTGCCCGTCCCACAGACCCTTCGCCCCAGCACTGTCCCCTCTGTGTCCCTCACCATCGCTGGTCAGTACATCGTGGACGACAGTGACTTTATTGAAGTAGATCTCGTGGATGAGGAGATTATCCAGCCAACCCACTCCTTCCTGAAGGCCTTGCTATCCAGAGTGGCCAACTTCTTCAGAAGAGTCAAGAGTGTGTTTAAGAAGAAGGATGATTAGGCAGTGAACTCTGAACACATATGTATATACTTATACTTTGGACTGTTGAGGCATGTGTGACAATATTTAGAAAATACATACAACTCATCATTGTTTGTTTTGGGCTATTTTCCTTATGTTAATGAAATACATTATTTGTTACAACATTTAGTTTGTTTAGTTGTTCCTTTTTTGCTATTTTCGGGCTATGTTATAGACTAACGCATGGTGATCACACTTGTAGTCCATGTTGTCAGCCACAACAATATACCCCAAATCAGAGAGAGAGAGGGATGTCAGGTCACCATTTATTTTCCAACGGCATACAGCCCAAAGTCCCAATCACAATGCACAACGGAATGCATCTGAACACATATCAGAAATAGTTTACCTAGTGACACTTTTCCAGGAAACATAATGACCTACCGGGTACACATACTTAAAGCAACTTGTGAACTTCAATGTAACTGTTTAGCTACTGCTGATACATCATTCTCAACATTCGAGATGTCTACAATAATCATAATGCACATCTGTAACAGGAATACAGCATTTAGAAAACTATTTGCATAAACAGCCTTCATACATATTATATATGGGTGGTAGCGCACCCACCCAAAGAGTTACTTCCCCTTGACCATGGATATTATCATTATTTCACTTTCTTACATCTGCCCCCCATAAAAAAAACATCGACCCAACATTTCAACAGATATGTATGCGAACTACAAATTTACAAAACATATTTACAGACAGCGCTGCTTAAAATATTAAGACATAAGTTCTTCAGTAGTTGAAAAATACCACTTTCAAAGTGTACAACCTGTAGTTTTACATACATCATGATATTTGACACTGAAGGTAACAATACTGCTAGACGTCCAGTCAAACTATACTGCAAACCTTTTACTGTTACTTATAGTTATTCTAAGTGGAAAAACCTTTTGTACTTCAGACTGTACTAAATACAACAAACTTGGATGTCTCTTCCGATAAGGCAATCCATACATAAAATATTAAGGTCATACCATTGTGCTCAAAGTGAAGTTTTAATGTTAGTTCTTCACTTGTAAAGGTCTCTCTGGACGGAACCAGGGGTAATGTATCACTGGTATTAACAGTACTTGGTATGGGTAATACTATGTAACAGGTACCACAGGACATGCAAGTCGCAAAAGGTTCAGGTTTGTTTTCTGTTCACATTCAGTTGGCTTTCCTGTTGTGTCATATGTCAGTTTTGACAGGACATTTCTTTCATCGTTGTGACTTCCTCACCTCTGCTTCATCATCGGCATAATGAAAATCTGTGGACTCTTCCTCACTCTCTGTTGATTGTAGCTGTGGATCTATTTGGTCACAGGTCCTCACAGAATTGTCACCATCCGGTGACTGCTCACTTGCACTCACATCAGTATCATCTTGATCCTCATAACTACTAGAACCATGATCCGTCGACCGACTTGATACTGGGAGTTGTTTCATTGGCATTTTCTGACGCAGCAAAATGCTTCTCAGGATAAACTTCCTTCACATCGATCTCCACTTGGCCACTGCCTTCTGAAGAATCACTGTCCGTCCCTGACTGCTCATAATCGACAATGTGCTTTTTCATCCGAAGCGTTTGAGTTCTTTTCTGCTGTCTCTTGGGTCCATCTGAACGCCATGTTCTGAGACAATGTGTCCAAGGTAGCGCACCTGTTTCTTAAATAGATTGCACTTACGAGGTTTTAGTTTATTCCCAGATTCCTTTTACCATTGCAAGACATTCCTTACATCTACTACATGTTGTGAAAAATCTTTGCTGAAGACTATAAAATACAAATAGTGTCCCTCAGCCCTTGTAAGCAAGTGTTCATTAAGTGCTTGAATGCACTTGGTGCTCCAGTTGAACCAAAAGGAATGCGTATCCATTCATATAGCCCCCAAGGACTAATAAAAGCAGTATATGGTCTACAACTTTCCTTGATGAAGCCCTAGTGATAGGCCTTCCCCCATTGGTTTCCACCCAAACTGTCAAGGGCATCCTGCATGCGTGGTAGAGGGTGCCTGTCACAGACCGTCTTACTATTGAGTGCCCAATAGTCAACACATAGTCTCAGACTTGAGTCCTTTCTTCTGACACAAACTAGAGGGCTCGAGTAATATGACTTCAAGTGTCGTACCCATCCCTTGTTTATAAGGTCTTCTTGATAATCTTTAACTTATTTGTAAAAAGGCCTAGGAATGGACACATATGACTTCTGTACAGGTACATTATCAGTGAGTTGAATGTCCATTTTCAAATCAGTTATTGTCCCAATATCATCATCTGTCTTACTGAAGACATCTGACTCTTCATATAACATCTGCTTGATCATTTCCTGTTGTTCCTCGCATAAATCATCACTTAGTCTACTGGGGGATGCCAGTGCTCTTGTATGCTTGTGGTGTCTGATGTCTTATCTGATACCAGGATATCATCTAAATTCCAGTCAAGATCTGGCTCGTCCTCACCTTGTAATGGTATGACAGATCTCACTTGCTGCAGTGTACCAAGACATGTCCTGCTGTGACCTTTAATGTCATGACTAGTACAGTTCATTAACGTTACCGGAATGTTTGTTTTGGTGAATCTCTTCAACCTAAGAAGTGATCCTTGAATCTTCAGTCCATCAGGCCAAGGTTCCTCAATGTTTGGTTCAAACAAGACAGTGGTGGGTTCACTTACATTGGTGGCGACCATGCACTTCACTTGTAACACTTGACCAGCTTTGATACATATTACTTGTCTTCCACTCTGAACGTCACATATTGCATCAGGTCGCTCCTCTTGCAACAGCTTAACTACAGCTTCCAGTTTTTCTTTCCTAATTGCTGGCAGTCCTGATTGTCTGACATTGACTCTGCTACACTCTGCATGACTGAAGAGATATTGCTCGATCACAATAATACCTATGATTGGGGTAGTGATGGACATCTTAGTAACTAAAAATGGAAAAGAAAATTTCCGATCAGTGGTTCCCTTCATCAGTTCGAAAGATACTTCGACCCATCCTTCAAAGGGTATGTTCTTCCGGCCAATTTACTGTCGCCTAACAGTTCACTTGTTTCATCCTTTGATTCTTCAAACACTACAGACCTAACATCAGCAACATGTGTGCTCTTCCTTTTCCGCTCCTTCTCGGCAGACACAGCAGCGCCAACCAGACCGATGTTCCTCAATTCTTGTACAATAATGGGGTCTCTCAAGCCAGTGAGTATTGTTCTCAGGGTCATACTTATCATCAGGTTCTGGTCATACCTTTTATCAGATCCATCCTCTTTGGATGAGAAATTTATTTTCTGACTCAAGAAATCAAGAATCCTCCAAACAAAATCTAAAGTTTCTTCTTTTTCCCCTTGAACACCACAACTAAGGTCCTGATAAAGTTCTGTCGCAGATTTTTCCTCAGAGACTGTTCGGAGAAGCTTCCAGAGAATGGGTAAACTAAGATCAGCCTTTCCTTCAATGTATCCCCTCAGTGACTCTGTTGGTGGAATGGCTCTATGAACACCATCAATAATCTCAACAGTACTGTAACCCCTTTCTTCTCAATCTGTCTTTTCAAACGGATGAAACCTATTCCTTGCTTCATGACAGGTCCATGAATCTTGAACTCCTTTAACATCTGCTACCCTCACCATTGTTGGCTGATGTGGTCACGGTCTTAGGTTCATGATAGGAACCTCTTTGCTTTTCAGCTGCAGCAGCTGGTAATAGCTGCATCTTCTTTTCCCCCATTGCTTGGATCATTCCGACATTCTACCATATAGGATTCTAAAGTTGTCAAACACATTGATTTGTCGGTACCAGCCTTGACAGGTATTCCAAGCCGCTCCAGCGATTCTGTCAACACACCAACATCCAGACCGTACATCCGGGATTTGATGCTCCACTCTGTCTCTGACATCTTCAATATTGTCGTGGTGGTCTTCAAGCAACATATGCTGATCCTGGCACGCTTGCCAAGTTGTCAGCCACACAACAATATATCCTAAAACAGAGGGAGAGATGTCAGGTCACCATTTATTTTCCAACGGCATACAGCCCAAAGTCTCAATCAAAATGAATGCATCTGAACATATATCAGAAATAGTTTACCTAGTGACACTTTTCCAGGAAATATAATGACCTACCTACCAGGTATACTTACTTAAAGCAACTTGTGAACTTCAATGTAACTGTTTAACAACAACACAATACTGCATGAAAACTACTGCTGATACATCAGTCTCAACATTCAAGATGTCTACAATAATCATAATGCACACCCGTAACAGGTATACTATATTTAGAATACTACATGCATAAACAGCCTTCATACATATTTTACAAAAATTACTATTTCATTTACAAGATTAAGTAAGAAAAACAGATTATCATAACGGAAATAATACATGCAAATAGTCACTTTTACACTATTCCATTGGGCTTAATCAAAAACCATTACTTCCGGATTGTGTATTTAATGCAACAATATGCATAATTTGACCTATCAGTTATTACATATTTGGACATTCAAGTCTGTTACATGTAAATAGAATAATAGATCAACAATGCCAACTTATTACATATATAATACAGCAGCAGTTACTAATTGCACACAATGGAAAAGATTGCATTGAACGGTCATAATTCAAAATCAACACAATAACAAACATGTTCCTCAGTGACTAGCACATATGCTTTCCGGAACGTTACAAGATGAGGGTTATTTCCCCTGAATCGTGCTAATGCGGTCACGTGACCCCCGAAAATAGGTGACAACCAGAGTTTAAACAGCGTTGGTGAATATTTAATGTTACAAGATCAAAATAACTATTCTATTCCTGAACCAAAACTATTAGAATCCTATTCCCATTCCTAAAATGGGAATCACATTCCTTTAATAGTCAAAAAGTGAAACGCTAACCATGAGGTTTCTGCTTGGCTCGATTATAGTCCAGTATTTAAGAGGTCCAGGTTCAACAAAATTGACGGCAAAGATTTATTGCTGGATTTTGGTGCCTTGACACCTGTACATTAAAACAAAAAATAGTTTACCAATGCTAACCATGAGGTTTCTGCTTGGCTCGATAAATCGAAAATACAACTATATACGATGCTACCTCTGACAGAATACCCACAACCTATTTCCTGGCATTGTTATCTACAATATGTGATACAAGACGGCCTTATTTCGACCAACATTAATGCATACATACCTAAAACAGAGAGAGAGAGATGTCAGGTCACCATTTATTTTCCAACGGCATACAGCCCAATAAGCTATTTCCCGGCTCACTATGCGCAACGTCAGTTGACCTTTGGGTGGTAGCGCAAAGAGTTACTTCCCTTTGACCATGGAAATAATCATCATTTCACTTTCTCACAAAGGCATGCAGGTGCACCATTTGATCAGGTGTTCAACCCTTTAACCAATAGGCTACCTACCGCCCCCTGTTGAGGAGAGTTTCCATCTCTGGTGGTCTAGCTGGGTTCATGTTTCAGTGTGGACAATAATATTTTGTAGGCTTGGGAACATTTTGTCATGACATCCTGACATTAATTGGAATAGATGCGGTTAAGATGCAACGGCTTACGCCTATCACATTTCGTCCATACATTTCAACATAGATATCACCTTGGTGAGGTGAGGTGAAATGGGGTTTAACGTCGCGCATATGACGACGTTCATGCACGTGTGTGTGTGCGTGGCTGCTTATACTAGCCGATTTTATAGTGCTAGCCCACTGTGATAACATGCCGCAGTTTAACATTGACACCCCATTCAGACACGTTATACTGACTCCGAGCCGACCAGGCGTTGTTTTACCATCTTATAACGTCTGCGGCTTGAGATCGAACAACCCACCTTCCTCTCTCGGGGCAGACGCTCTATCCACCAAACCACGGATCCGGTCTTTCGGTCACGCCACTCCATGAGATAAACATGTTATTTGATAAGAAAGGACAAATGTCCTCTATAATTAACTGTTATAATAAAGGAACAAATCATATGAAATTATGGTTCACAAATGTAAGAAAGAATACTGTAAATGAAATAAGTATTTATTCTAATTTTTTAATTACCAGTTTTGAATGTTTAACGAAGCCCCAACATTAATTTATATTTCTTAAACTGAAATATTCATATCATGAAAAAAAAATTCCATGTATTATCTTTTCTTTAATGAAATAATATCTGATCATCTGATAAAATATTAATAAGCCATTATGAATTATATGCTCAACACCAAAAGTTTCTGTGATACCAATATTTTAGTGAAATTTTCAAACAAGTAAAGTTTGGTTTTCAATATTGTAGTACATGTATGGAATCAAGTCACAAAAACGCAACTGCTACAGAAAAGCATGCATTCCATACAAAAGTTGACTTTTATGCAAGCCCCATGCATTTCACTACCCAATAATGGGCATAAAAACATGTGCGTTAACGGGATTTAATACGCATTGTTGAGCATCGTGCTGACAACAACCACTCAGAAAACCAACAGAATTACGCAATTATTCAACATTACGAAATGCCACGCCTGTCCGGAGCAGGATCGAGTCAACGTGATGTTGCAAGACAATTTAACGTCCACAGAAACACCATTTGGCAACGTTGGCAACAGACGAATGCAGTCAGAGACCATCCTCGGAGTGGCAGGCCACGCGTAACCAATAATCGACAAGACAACTGGATTCGAACAACACACCTACGAAATTGATTCCAGCCAGCAACAGTGACTGCAAGAAGCACCCGTGGCCTTCCACGAATATCTTCACAAACCGTACGTCGTCGCCTTAGATGTGCAGGGATTGTCGCCAGAAGACCCGCCAGACGTCCCATTTTGACAGGAAACCACCGTCAAGCACGTCTACAGTGGTGCAGACAGCGTCTAAGCTGGACGGCCATGCAGTGGGGACAAGTTCTATTCACTGACGAGTCTCGTTTTCACCTCAGCCACAGCGATGGACGGATTCGAGTGTACCGACGTCGAGGTGAACGTTACGTGAACGTTACGTCATTGTGTCATGGAAGAAGATAGGTTTGCGCGCGGCCGCATTATGGTATGGGGTGGGATAATGGTAGAGGGAAATCTCAATGGACAGCGCTACCGCGACGAGATCATCGGCCCTGTTGTTCTACCGTTTTTGCGTTGTCATGGCCCAGACATTACCTTTCAACATGACAACGCCCGGTCTCATATTGCTCGACTTGTTCAGGATTCTCTTCAACAAAACAACGTGAATGTCATCCCCTGGCCGGCTCGCTCCCCTGATCTCTCACCAATCGAGCACATGTGGAATGAGATGGATCGGCGCCTTCGACGTCGTCAACCACGTGTTCCACAGACACTCCAGGAACTTCGAAACATGCTCCAGCAGATATGGACATATATCGCACATGACTTTGTGCGACGCCTGGTCCAATCCATGAGACGAAGATGTGTTGCTTGCATCGCAACCAGAGGTGGACACACACGCTATTGATTTGTAAATTGACGTTTTGGCATGTTCATGGTTTTTTTTATGAATTCACGCATTTTCTGAAGTCAGTATGGCAAATTCAACCATTTGAACACTTACAGGAGTCTTTTATCTGTTGCACATCGAAATTGTTTCAGATTTGGTAAAAAACATAACGTTGCGTTAAATCTTATTCAATGTCACAAGAACTTTTGTTGTTCAGTATATATTCATAGCTGTCTCTTACTTAATGTTTTAAGTGTTTTGTTCGGGTTTGGTCATGTCAACCCTGTTTAAGCAAGTCAGTGTATTCCATCAGACAAGTATTGTTGAACATGCCCCTGGTCATGACGTGAAACTAGTGTACCACCTATGCAGGGTCGGCTGATGGTACTTGACATCTCGATATACCAGTCCCCATGAGGTCCCGGTCAGATTAATCTCAGCAAAACGTCACCGAGCGAAAACGCCAGCGATCGGCGAAAATGTCACCTCGCCTAAAGCGACAACGGCTACTATTGCCTTGCGAAAACGGCACCTTATTTTTTTTTTTTACCTTGGTACTGAAATATATGAAATTGCAAACACAAATAATTGTAACATGTTAAAACACGTTTACATTAGATATTAGCCTCTATTCCAATTTACTTGCCGACTGGGATTCGAAGGCGCAACTTAACATATTGTGAAAACATCACATGCTTGAAATAAAATAAATGAAATTAAACTCTTTGGTCACTTGCAAAAACAAATAATTTTGAAATGTTAATCGCCTTAAAAAACGTTTACATTAGAAATTAGCGTCTACTCCAATGCGAGGAAGATCTCAGGGCCAACATGAGGAAGTCCTCCACATCTCCACCTCCACGAGTGAGTGAGTGAGTGAGTGAGTATGGTTTTACGCCGCTTTTAGCAATATTCCAGCAATATCACGGCGGGGGACACCAGAAATGGGCTTCACACATTGTACCCATGTCGGGAATCGAACCCGGGTCTTCGGCGTGACGAGCGAACGCTTTAACCACTAGGCTACCCGACCGCCCCTCCACCTCCACGAGATATTCCACGTCTGGCAGACATACAAAGATGGTGACCTCACTCTGCCTCAGTTACTGACACAATTAATGCTCTGTGGTTAATGGACCAGTCTTTTGAACAAGGATGTGATGATATTCAAATGTGGAAGTACTGTGTATAACTGTGAAAAACAAGACAATGACAATGTCAATAATATAAATAAATCATATATACTACATCATAACATAATAAAACATGTAAATAAAAGCATATATACTACTACTACGCCCGAGAAATCAGTGACGTTTTGCTGAGGTGTGTTTTAGCCTGCACCCGCATCCCTTATATTGCTGGTTGTGAAGATAGTCATAGTATGATTATAGACACTGTCGTACCATAAATTTGACGGACCCTTACAAGCTGCTGGTTGAATAGTAAATAGTAACAGCCAGAATTGTGACTGGAGGAATTAATTCAGCTCATAATTAATTTTGCTCCATTTATATGTTGGCGCGACTAAAC